GGGGGGGCGGCCTATGATCGGGATGTAAAGTGAATAATTAAAACTGTCTGTAACAGACATATCATGCAGGCAAAACGCCAATGCACATAAAATAATAAATTATTTAAAAATAATAAACACATTAATGTGGGGGGAGAGCCAGAGAGGACCAGAATGCCTTCTAGACAGTAAAGGGGAGTCTCACCGGTCTAATCTCAACAACATGGTTGCCTAGACCTGTATAATGACACCACTGGCTGACATGTCAATGCAGATGGGCGAAAAGTCACAAGGATTCACCCGTCTTTAACATCCTTTGGGAGGAGGATGTGGCCTACGGGATAAGGCGACCTCTTCTAATAGTGCTTTATAGTGATTGTGCCAGCAGGTGGCGCCCGAGCACCACCGTTTCTGAACAGAGTGTCAAAGACCAGGTTTGACTTGTTACTGCCCCTTGGAACCTGGAAAGGCAAATATCGGGCGAAAGGAAAACAAGCGCTCTTTGGAGATCATTTATCCAAGGTGCAATCGTTTCGGGACACGAGGTAACCAGCTCTTTTTATGCTTGCTCCTAGTCCCACACTAACTGAGACCTCCCGAGATCAGAGCCCCTCTCCTTCCTACACCCTATGGCAGGAGCACCTTTCTTTGTGGCGCTTCCCCTACTCCACCCCCTTGCATGGTCTTTCTAATCTTTTCTAGGCTCTTCCCTCCACCCCCCGCCCCCACCTCCCTCCTTGAAGAACACCACCAGTAACAACCTTAGCTGAACTCTACTGCTGTGATAAAACATTTACCAAAGGTTTTTTTCAGCTTATAGTTTATAGGCTGTTGTTGAAAGAATTCAAGCCAAGAACTCAAGGTGAGAACCTGGAGGCAGATTCAACCCTCTCTTCTTGGGCACCTATACTCAGGTTTGTACACATACATAATACACCTAATTTAAAAAAATAAAAGAAGGGCTGGAGAGATGACTCAGCGATTAAGAGCACTGACTGCTCTTCCAGAAGTCCTGAGTTCAATTCCAGCACCCACATGGTGGCTCACAACCCCCACTGTATGGGATCCGATGCCCTCTTCTGGTGTGTGTCTGAAGACAGCTACAGTGTACTCACATAAATAAAAATAAATAAATCTTTAAAAATTTAAAAAAAATTAAATGAAAGACAATAGCACACTCCACCAGAGGCACCTTACCCTGTTTTGTTTACATTAATTAAGTATATGTTGTGGTACGCAGCATTTGGGGTTCAAAGAAAGATTAAAACATGGCACCTGTACTCTAGAGCAACAACAGATGAGAAATCAACTTCCAGTGTGACCCTGTGACCTGCCTGGATTACCAAGAAAATGTCCTCAGGAATAATCCTGGTTCTGTCTCCAGCATCCACATGATAACTCATAATTACCTGTAACTCCAATCTCAGGGGATCCCAAATCTTCTTCTAGCCTCTGCAGGCCCAGGTCTGCATGTGGTATACAGATTGCACGCAGGAAAAAACACTCATGAACACAAAATGGGATGCTAACGACACCAAGTGGCCTTCTCATCACATATGGTCACTGCTGCCTCTTATTATGGCTATTATTATTATTATTATTATTATTATTATTGTGTTCAGGTGGAAACATTCATTCTGCAGAAGTCTCTGCTCTCCTGATCATAACCTTAAGCAGAGGTAGGGTATAACTTAGTGTTGGGTGCTCCTTTAGCACGTGTGAGGTTCTGTCTCCAGCACACAACCCCCCTACCAACAACAAAACACTTAAACCTGTGTTTACTCACTGCAGGAACATTCTGGATAAACTCCTCCCAGAGGTATTTAAACCAGAGTCTGCTGTCCTTGCACAAAGCAAGTGTGTGTGTTCAGCAAACAACCAGTGAGGAGGGGTTAGCGTCACTCGCTCGATGAGAGTGGACCGCAGGCAGGGCAACACACTGCCTCCAGTCCAGTATCAGCCATGGACATGGAGAAGGTCAACTCCATGGACTTCAGTGAATTTGTGGATGTGTTTGGGAACGTCGTTGAAAAATGTCCTCTGATCGCAGCTGCTGTCTGGTCTCAGCGTCCATTCTCTGGCTTGGAAGACTTAGAAAATCACTTTTTTGCTTTTATTGATGCTCTCCCAAGGTCAGGTAAGACTTCAGGACCATGCACACAAAGTTATTTCCAATATCATATGTAAAAAAATGTTTTCTATTACTTTAGCCTCATTAGTCAGTTATTTAGTTGGGACTATTAGAAGGGTCAGCAGACACCCTTTCAACTGCTAGGCTCTTAAAGGTGAACACAAGAATGTGGGGGATAAGATAGCATGGCCGAGGGTAGTGGAGGCAGAGGGAGGCCAGTTTCTGAGTTCAAGACCAGCCTGATCTAGAGTGAGTTCCAGGACAGCCAGGGCTACTGGAGGTCAAGGCCTGAGTGAATCAGAAGCTGAAGGTCCACTTTGGCAATGCTCTGGAGGAAAGACAGGGTAGTGAGAACATCCCAGGGGCCCCAGAGAGGAACCGAAAGCACTGAACGATTTACTAAGAAAGGGCCAGTTTGGACCAGACAAGGAAAGTGCATTCATTGAGATCCCAAGACTCTGCAGAAAGAAGAAAAGTTGAAGCAAATTGATGGTTTCTGGGGAGAACAAGTGAGGAGTGAAGTTCTTTGGGCCACAGGGTGGGGAGAAGAGGAGGCAGAAGTTTATACTGGGTGGCACAGAGGCCAAAGGTCGGAAGGTACACAGTCCCTGCTCATAGGGTACTCTGGATTCTGAGAATAAGCCTGACATGCCCTTGGGGAACAAAGATGGGGGCAAGGGTCACCTGCCCTTGAGACTGTTCATAGACTTCAGGCTGGACAGTGACCCTGTGGCCTCATGACAGAGCAGGCACTCACAGCTGTGTTCAGTATGGCTGTGACACCCTATGGCTTCTCAGTCTTGCCTGGATGTCCTCCTGTGAGAACTTACTGAAGAGATGGTTCAGTAGTTAGGGGCACTGGCTGTTCTTCCGAGGACTGGAAATCAATTTTAAGCACCCACATAGATGCTCACAAAGGTGCCTAACTCCAGGATCTGATGTTCTGCTCTGACCTCCGTAAACACCAAGGGCAAGTGTGGTACACAGACATATATGCAAGCAAAACACTCAAATATATGAAATTTAGGATCATGTGTATGTGTGTGCGCATGCATGTTTGTCTGTTCATATGTGTAACTGAAGCCCAGCATAGTGGCTTAGCCTGTACTCAGGAGACTAAAGCAGAAGGATCGTTATGAGTTTCAGGCCAACTTAGTCTACAGTGAGACCGTCTCAACAAATAACCAAGCAAACCAACATCAAACTGATAGCAATGTCGGGCACATAGTGACAGCCACCCACTGCTCAGGACAAGCTGAATGATAGAGATTCCCCCTCACCTGTGACTCACAAAACACCCTGGCCCAACATAATGAGCCAGATGACTCTAGCTTTCCATCCCGAGGCCCACGAGTGAGTGGAAAAAGAGAAGGCCCATGAGAGGTTTGCTTTCAGTTGTTAGGGTAAAACCATGACCAAGGTATCTGATAGAGAAATGAGTTTATTTGGACAGATGGCTGCAGGGAGAAAAATGTCCATCATGGTGGAGAAGCAGAAGGCTCCTGAAGCATCGAGCTAAGAGCTTACATCTTGAATCACAAGGACAAAGCAGAGATGGGGCACTGGAAATAATCTTCAAACTCTCAAAGCCCCGCACCCCCCCAGGTGACATACTTCCTCCACCAGGGCCATGGCTCCTAAGCTAGTGGTTTCTCGACCTGAGGGTCCCGACCCCTATGGGGGTCACATGTCAGATATCCCACATATTAGATAGTTACATGATGATTCATAATGGTAGCAAATTACAGTTATGAAGCAGCAACAAAATAATGTTATGGTTGGGGGTCACCACCACAAGGGGAACTGCATGAAATGGTCACAGCTCTAGGAAGACTGAGAACCACCGACCTAAACCTTCTCAAACAGTGCCAGCAACTGGGAAGCTAATACTCAACACATAAGTATAGGGGACACTCTCATTCATACCACCAGAATTCATGATCTGAGAGCAAAGGGAAAGAAGATTTCAGTGAGGTTGGTTATATGATGTGTGTGTGTCTGTGTGTGTGTGTGTCTGCAAATCAACTAGTCAACTCAGGGTCTTTTTTCCTCATGTTGAGCTGTATTCAATCTTTTGCACAATGTTCTAGGAGAGAGAGAGAGAGAGAGAGAGAGAGAGAGAGAGAGAGAGAGAGAGAGGAAGGACCTCATGTATTTGAAGGGTCATTTTAAAAATGATGAATCCTTAATGAGTGGTGGTGATACACTTGGGAGGTAGAGGCAGGTGGATCTCTGGGTTCGAGGCCAGCCTGTTTTACAGACTGAGTTCCAGGACAGCCAGGGCTACACAGAGAAACCCTGTCTTAAAAACAAAAACAAACAAAAAAATCCAACATGACTGTGCATGCCAAGGTGTGTCTGTGCACCTCATGTGTGCAGATCCCTGCAGATCCAGACGAGGGCATCAGATTCCTCTGGAACTGGAGTTATGGGCAGATGTGAACCACCTGATGTGGGTGCTGGGAGCTGACATCAGGTCCTCTGCAAGAACAGCAAGTGCTCATTACCACTGAGCCATCTCTCCAGCTCACAAAGGTTTCTGAAGAAAGTAAGCAAACTAGACTTTTCTAGATTATTTAAAACAAAACCTAGAAAGATGTGTCTGTGTGCATGCACATGTGTTATGTGTGATGTATGGCTGTGTGCATGTGTGTGAGGGTGGGGTGCATGCATAGGCTGATTTCTGTGAGTTTGAGGCCAATGTGGTCTACAGAGTGAGTTCCAAAACAGCCAGGGCTACACAGAAAAATCCTGTGTCACAAGAAAACTAAATAAAAAATAAAAAGGAAAGGAAAGGAAAACGAAGGAAGAAAGGAAGGAAGGAAGGAAGGAAGGAAGGAAGGAAGGAAGGAAGAAAAGAAAGAAAATGACCCACAGACATACCCACAGGTCAATCTAATGGGAAGCATTTCTTCAACTGAGGTTTCCTTTTCACAGATGACTTTGATTTGTGTCAAATCGACAAAAAGGAACCTGTGTGTGTGTGTGTGTGTGTGTGTGTGTGTGTGTGTGTGTGTGTGTGTGTGTGTGTGTGACATGACACTCTTTCTGGGGAAGGATTTGTTTGGATTATCTAAACAAACAAACAAGCAAACTTTCTAGCCAGATGGTAACGCCTCATACTTTTAATCCAGCACTCACAAGACAGAGGCAGGTGGGTCTCTGGAATTTTGAGGTCAGCCTGATCTACAGAGTGAGTTTTAGGACAGCCTGGGACACATAGAGAAACCCTGTCTTGCAAAACAAAAACTTCCTTCCTTTACAGAACTGAAAATTGAATTTTTGGAGTAAAACAGAAGCTGACCTTCCATTTAGGTTAAGCTATGATGTACAGTGACCAGTAGATGGCAGTACAGGATTACTATTGGGCTCAAGCCCTGCCAAAAGCCCCAGCCATATCTTCTTCCCATTGCCCTAAGCAGAGGCAAGGGAACAGTTCTGGTAAAGGAAGAAAGGTTGAAACTCAGTACTGATTTGTGTCCAAAGTCAAAGCCTGGGTTCGGGGAAACAAAATACTAAATACACTCCTAGGGCCAGCAGTACAAGACACTTGGTTCTATCTCCAGTGACAAGCTCCCAAACCACCAGCAATAAAACTTCTCTCTCCCTTTCTCCCTCTCCCTGTCTTCTCCACCTCCCTCTCCCCACTCTCTCTCCACTGCCTCTCAATTTCTCTATCTTTCTGGCTCCCTGTTTCTGCCCATATCTCTCCAACTGTGTCTCTCTGTCTCTGCTAGTGTCTCTCTCTTCACCCTCTGTCTCTCTGTCTTTGTCTCTAGCAAATACATCCTGGGGGGGGGGGGAGGTGTACCTTTGCCATACCAATACCATTGTGTGGACTTTTGGGCGAAAGTTGTGTAGAGGCTGCATAGATACAGGGAGATGGGTCAAGATGCTATTACAGTAGTTAAGAGTGAAAGGAGAGGGGCTGGAGAAACCACATGGAGGCTCACAACCATCTGTGATGGGATCCGATGCCCTCTTCTGGGGTGTCTGAAGACAGCTACAGTGTACTCATAAATAAAAAAAA